CCGCCTGTGCCCGGCGCCCGGCCTGTGTCACACGCACGCACACACGCGCGCGCGCGGGTCCCGCCTGGGAGGGCCGCCTCCCGCTCCCGTGCCCGCAAGCCCTCGCTTCCGCACAGCGGCTCCGCCCCTCCGCGTCCCCCGCGCAGCTCCCAGGAAGGGCTTCTCAGCCGCCGCGTCTGCGCCGCATCCGCGCTCCGCCTGTCGCGTAGGCAGCGGCCCACGCACCAACAAAGCCGGTCCCTGCCCGTCCCAGGCCTGTAATCCCAGGGCTCAGGAGGCTGAGGCAGGAGGATCACAGGTTCCAGGCCAGCCTGGGCTACATAGTGAGACCCTGTCCCCGACAGACAAAACCAGACAAAAGTAAGTAAAAGGGCTAGGGATACAGCTCAGTGGTAGAGCACCACCCCAGTGCTACAAAACGACCCCAAATCTCCCACGCCAAAGAGCAACTCCCCAAACCAAGATTCCCATGAGCGCAGAAACGCGGGTGCTTTTCCCTAGGAACAAAATCATCCAACCCGCCGCCATCCAGGGCAGCAGCGGCTCCCCATTCTTTTGACATCGGCTTCAAAACTTCCGGAAACAGCTCGTGTTACCCAGCGAGGTCCCTGCTGCCCCCGCTCTCCGCTGCCTCCTGCTGGGTTTCAGGGTCTGAGATTCGCAGCTGTGCCGCACCCCCTCCCGCCACACCCACCGCGCCCTCTCTGCTCAAGTCCACGAGGGGTTCCTGAGTTGCCGTCGATTTCTTGGTGCATTGTACACAAACTGCAGGGCTCCCACCCTGCTCCACCCCCCAGGCCACCGCCCCACTGGCAGGGACGGCCTCCTGGGAGGTCGCCCTCCCGGTCCTGGGCTAGCTCAGCACCCTGGGTGGGGGTGACTGCTCTTTGTGGCACTGGGGATTGAACCTGGGCCTTCACACTGAGCTGCACCCCCAGCCCTTCTCTTAAATTTTTAAATTTTGATTCAGGGTCTTGCTAAGTTTCCCAGTCTGACCTGGGGAAGTTTGAAGCTTTGAAGCCCTCCTGTCTCAGCCTCCCAGTGCTGGGATGACAGGTATGCACCACCATGCCCGGGCTTATGGCATCTCTCAAAAGGAAGTTTCTCTGGGTGTGGTGGCGCACGCCTGTGATCCCAGCACTTGGGAGGCTGAGGCAGGAGAATCTTGCAACTTCGAGGCCAGCCTGCGCTACAAGGTGAGTTCAAGACCAGCCTGAACTGCATAATGAGACCTTGTTTAAAAAGACAAAAAAAAAGAGGAAGTTTCCTAATGAGTCTGATGCCTTTGAATGTCAAGTACTTTAATTTTTTTATTTTTATTTTTTGCCTTTTTGAGACAAGGTTACACTATGCAGTTCAGGTTGGTTGGCCTTGAACTCACTTTATAGCCCAGACTGGCCTCAAACACCCAGTGATCCTCCCGCCTCAGCCTCTCAAGTGCTGGGATTACAGGCCTGCGCCATCACGCCCAGGGAGTGTCAAATACTTTAATTCATTTAACCACTAGCTGTAGATTTCCAGTTTAGGAAAAGGTTTTAAATTAATTACAAGAAAAAAATTAGTTACAAGATTAGTTACTTTTTCATCTTTTTTAAAATAAGAGGGCTCACCTAGACTAAGCTTAGCGGCTTTAATCCTTTAGATTCAGAGTCAAAGAAATCATAAAAAATTAAGCAGGGAAATTTGAATACAAAGCATATTTCAGAGATTAATTTTTGGATGCAATAATGATTGTGTGTCATATTTTAAAATTCTTTCACAGCTGTCATCCCTGGAGGATCGAGGTGAGTTTGAGGCCAGCCTGGGCTACAGAGTGAGACCCTGAATCAAATCAATCAATCAGTCAATTGTTGCACATCTGCCAGGTATGAGGTGCATACCTGTCATCCCCGCCACTCTGGTGGCTGAAGCAGGAGGATCTCAAGTTCACGTGCAGCCTGGGCAGCTTGCTGAGACTGCCTCAGAATAAATACTGTGATACAAAGCCTGGGTGTTGCTGAGCGCTCCGCAGGTGGGGACAGAGGACGCGCTGTGGAGGAGGGGCTGAGCCTCGGAGAGGAGTGATGGAGACCCGGGATTCATTATCCGATAGGTGGACATTTCTCTCTTCCTCCTCCTCCTCCTCTTCCTTTTTTTTGGGGCGGGGGGGTGTACCGGAAATCGAACTCGGGACCTTGCGCTTGCCAGGCAGGTGCTTATGCCGCTGAACTATATCCCCGGCCCTATCCTTTCTTTTTTTTTGAGGCAGGGTCCCTCTATAGCCCAGGCTGGCATTAAACTCACTATGTAGCCCAGGCTGAACTCAAATTTGCAGCGATGCTCCTGCCTCAGCCTCCCAATTCGTGGGATTACAGACCTGCGCCACCATAGCGTCTGCTCACTTGGACATTTTCAAACTCACAAAGACTCGCAGAGCTCCCGTGTGTAAGTTCTCCGTCTGACCCAGGGCTAACACTCGGTCCCTTTCTCCCGGGTGTGGTTTCTTCCAGGGCGTAAGTGGGTAAAACCCTAAATCCCCCCCTGCGCGCGGGCACCAGGTGCGAGGACGCCCCGGGTTCATGGACTTGGGCGCCGCAGCGCGTGTCCCGCGGGCTCGGCTCCGGTCTCCGCCCCGCAGAGGAGCCAGCCCGAGCCCTGGCCGGCAGGGGGCGCGCGGGGTTGCAGCC